GGCTGGAGGGGGGGGGGGGCGAGGGAGGCGAGGGGACCCCAAGAAAGCAATAAAGACCAATCTCCCTTGACCCTGACGAGGTCAACAAAGCCCTCGCTTCCTCGTGGCGCCGGAGACAAATGCTCAGCGATTTACCCGCGAGTGAGGCCAGGGGGGGGGGGTAATCATGTAAATTATGTGCGGTTTGTGTTACGGATGCATGTGGGTATGCATGTATATTCCATAGTGTGTGTGTGTGTGTGTGTGTGTGTGTGTGTGTGTGTGTGTGTGTGAGTGTGTGTGTGTGTGTGTGTCCATGTAAGTGAGCGTGCGTACATAAGTATGTACGTGCGCGTAGGCGTCCGTGTACGTCTGCGTGGGCGATCAGTATACAAGACCACTGAAAAGACCCCCCTCCCCCCAGGCCCTCCGCCCCTCCTCCCACGGAGCGAAGACGCCCTCCGCCGAGGCCCGAGAAGCGCTGACTCAGACGGCGGCGTATGCGGGGACACGCGGCCGCTCGCCCGCGCTTGGACGGCTCGCCAGGGGGGGGGGGGTCGTGGCCTCAATCGCCCTCTGCCATGTCCTCTTCCGCCTCTTCTCGCCTCACTTCTCCTCTTTTCTCTTTTTTTTCTTCTGTGTCTATCGTTCTTTTTTTCTCTGTTCTCTCTCTCCTCTCTCTTCCTTTTCTCGTCTCCCCCTTTCTTCGTTCGCTCCAGACACGATTCAGAGGGGAAAAAAGGGGGAAAAGAGCAGAAAATTCCCAAAAAAAAACGATAAGGCTCCCCTCCCCCCTCCCCCCTTCCTCCGTGTCTCTAAGCTCCAGATACAAATATAATTCCACACATAGCAAATTTCCCAATACACATACACATAAACACACACGCACACAATCAACCTATAAATACATATATACACATCTGCACACACACATAAACACTCTCAGCCTTTATATACATACACACACACCTACACCTCCACCCACACACACATACACACACACACACACACACACACACACACACACACACACACACACACACACACGCACACACACACGCACACACACATACACACACACACACACACACACGCACACACACACACACACACACGCGCACACACACACACAAACACACACACACACACGCACACACACGCGCACACACACACACAAACACAATCACTCCCACACACACACAATCACACACACACACATACACACACACGCGCACACACACACACAAACACAATCACTCCCACACACACACAATCACACACACACACATACACACACACACCTACACACACAATCACACCCACACACACACACACACACACACACACACACACACACACACACACACACACACACACACACACACACACACACACACACACACACAAGAATAAAAAATCAGGAGTACTTTTAGTCTCCTAACATTACGCCTTTTTTCGCGTCGCACAAACGGAATTTGAAAGCAAGCTCGAAAAGATTATAATGCGGCTGCTGTTGATAGTGAACATAATAAAGGCTGCGAAATGATGATGGTGATGACGAGGATAATAATAGAAATAATCATAATAATAATAATAATAATAATAATAATAATAATAATGATGATGATAATAATAATGATAATAATAATAATAATAATAATAATAATCATAATGATGATGATAATAATGATAATAATAATGATAATAATAATAATAATAACGATAATAATAACAACAATAATGATAATAATAATAATAACGATAATGATAATTATAATAACAAAAGCACTAACTCAAGAAGCAGGGGAGAGCAAAGGGGTAAGGATAAGGGACAGAGAAGGAACATAGAAAAGGTAAACAAATAGGTAGATAAATATATTGACAGACAGACAGATAAAAATAAAGAGATAGAGAGTCAAGAAAAAGGAAATAAAGAGAGAGAGAGAGAGAGAGAGAGAGAGAGAGAGAGAGAGAGAGAGAGAGAGAGAGAGAAGAGAAGTGAAGAAAAGAGAAAGAAAGAGCGAGAGCGCGCGCGCACGCAGCCCCTTGGTCGAGATGAAAGCTAAGCAACAAGACAAAAAAACGAAAAGAAAGCCAAAAACACAAAATGGAAAATGCTCCATTGAGAGTGAGCCGCTTAAAAAAAAGGAGATGAATTCTGACAACATCCAATTAGGGGCGTCCGAACTCTGTCCGCCTCCCCCCCCCCCCCCATCCTACACTTACTTTCCCCTCCCTTCTCCTGCTCCTCCTCCCCCTCCCCCCATCCTTCTCCTGCCCACACCCACATTCCCTCCCCCCCTCCTCCCCCTCGTCCCTCCACTCCGCCCTCCACGTAACATAACTCCCTCCTCCTTCTCCCTCCCTCCATCCTCCACGTGTCTCTCCATCCCTTTCCTTCCTCCTCATCCTTCACGTACGCCCTCCCTCCCTCTCCCCTCTCCCCCTCCCCCCTCTCCTCCAAGCGTCTCCCCAACCGTCCTACTCCTCACCCTCCACGTTTACTCCCCTCCTCTAGAAAGGGAGACAGAGAGGGCGGGATAACTAAATAGATAAGGCCGACAGAGTGAGAGAAGAATAAGGGAGAAAGAGAACCAGGTGACAAGAAGGAGGAGATGAGGGGGGATAAAGGAGGGGGGGGGGGGAGAAGAGAAGAGGGGAGGAGGGGTAATCCGATTACGGTTCGTGGGGGGGGGGGAGAGGCGAGAAATGAAGAGAGGAGAGAAGTGAAGAGGATGAGGAGAGAAAGAGAAAGGTGTGACATAAAGATTGATAGTATGGAGAGGCAGAAGAGAGATATAATCAAGAGTTTAGTGAATTATATAGAAAAAATGGAAAAAAAGGTCGGGAGACGAGAGAGAGAGAGAGAGAGAGAGAGAGAGAGAGAGAGAGAGAGAGAGAGAAAGAGAGATAGAGAGAGAGAGAGAAAGAAAGAGAGAGAGATAGAGAGAGAGAGAGAGAGAGAGAGAGAGAGAGAAGAGAGAGAGATAGAGAGATAGAGAGAGATAGAGAGATAGAGAGAGGGAGAGAGAAAGAGATAGATAGATAGATAGAGAGAGAGAGAGAGAAAGAGATAGAGATAGAGAGATGAGAGAGAGAGAGATGAGAGAGAGAGACGAGAGAGAGAGAGAGAGAGATGAGAGAGAGAGATGAGAGAGAGAGACGAGAGAGAGAGAGAGAGAGATGAGAGAGAGAGACGAGAGAGAAAGACGAGAGAGAGAGAGAGAGAGAGAGAGAGAGAGAGAGAGAGAGAGAGAGAGAGAGATTGATAGAGAGAGAGAGAGAGAGAGAGAGAGAGAGAGAGAGAAAGAGATGAGAGAGAGAGACGAGAGAGAGAGAGAGAGAGAGATGAGAGAGAGAGACGAGAGAGAAAGACGAGAGAGAGAGAGAGAGAGAGAGAGAGAGAGAGA